TCATCGAGAAGTTGGCAGAAAAGGCCTGGCAAGAGTAGGAGCCAGTAGCAGGCAAGGATCAAACCCTGGTGAGGATGTTGCAGGAGCAGGGCAGGGTCAGGCAAGAGCAGCAAGAATCAAACACGGGCAAAGGAAGGTCAGCCTGTCTTCTCCAGCAGACCAGTGGGGGCAGCCTTCGCTCTGCACAGGAAAAGCAGGTCTTTACAATGGGCATTTCACAGACATCTGGTTGGCCACTGTGCAAACAGAATGCTGGACTAGACAGGCCTTTGGTTTCATCCAACAGGGCTCTTCTTCTGTGTTTACACTGAAAAAGGATCCTACTTTGAATCTTCTCTATTAGCCATATTCCACGGTGCACATACTCCTAATGATAGGAGCTTAAACACAAATACGGTCCCAGCTCTTGCGCAGTCCTCTCTTGGTGGCTCTGAATACTGTGTGCAAGTGAGTCATCTTTCTGTGCTGCTTTTATACAATCCAAAGGAAGAATTTGCAGATTTGTTGCTCAAGGATATCTCTTGCTTCCACATGTTTCCCTTTTAAGTAACATCAAATGTTGTGCCAAATTTTTTCCTGAATGCTACTTTGTTCTAGATTAGTTTAAAATTCCTACAACTCCAAACATGGAGGTCATCCTTGACCCATGACCAGTGAGCAACATCTATATTTGAAGTTGGATGGAACAGAATCTGTAATGTTCCTAATCCTCAATAGAATTCATCCATATGATGCATTTTGTTGGCAGATTAAGTGAGGACTTGAGAGGGGATGTGCATGTGAATGGGTGCCTGCCAAGGAAGGCTGCGGCCAGAGAACTGCAGGTCCTAGTTTGGTGTCTTGTGAACATGGGCTTGATGAAGAGTTGTGCTTTTGTAACTGAGTATAAATATGCTTATTGAGATGCCCATAGCTCAACTCCTAGTAGCTCCAGGAAGGGTAGAGAAGCCACTCTGTCTGAAATCATTGCATGCCAGGATTCCCACATCTGGTGCTCTCCAGATGTTTTAGTCTACAGCTCCCATCGGTCCTGCCCAACATGACCAACATCTGGAGGCCACCAAAGCTGGGAAAGTTGAAGCAGAAAATACTGAGATGGGTGTACTAATGCTCTGAGTTCAAGGTAGTTTTCCTGTGTTCCTGATTATTCAATCTGTTTCCTAACCCAGACGGGAACTACAAAATAGGGACTGGCATGCACATGTATATACTGCTTTCCATTTTAACTTTCTATATTTTTTTCTTCTCGGTAAGGGCAAATTAATGCATGATGCCTGGAAATGGTTGCTGTCTGAGACCCAACCTCTCTTTGGGCAGGACTATTCTGTGATAACACAGAGGCTTTGCTGCACCATCCATGCCTCAACAGCAACGAACAAACATGCTCTGAGGGAAAGCGGGGGGGGGGGGAGATGCTCTGTGGAAAGGGGGGAGATTATATGCTGTATGGTCTCCATCTTCAAGAGGCGTATGTGGCTGTAATTCTTCTCCAGAAATGGTTGCTCATGTGAACTGAGGCAACCAGGCTTTGGGCCTATTCTTCTGTTTGTGAGGGTATCTGTCTCCATGACAGAGAATACTTTTGCTGAATGATGGAGAACTTTAGGATATCTCCAGATGACAGAAATGAGCAAGATCCTTCTTGTGGAGATAAATCGAGAAAAGTGTGCCTGCGCATAAATCGTGCCAAAGGTCTAAAAAGGAGGCCTGCCAAAGTATTATTGTTCAAGCACATTCAGCCTTTTCTTAGCCTTTTGATCCGCTTGCAAATTTTCCTTTGTCTCATGAAGTGACACAGTGGAGCCATCTTCTATGTAAGCAGTGGAACAGTTTGAAGAGGGTGCATGCACTTTTGGGGGCTGGACTGGATAGAGTGTCCTGAGCACACAAATTGTGGCATGGTAGTTAGAAGATGACGTGCTCCAGAGTCAAGCCCCATACGCCATAAACTCACAGAGTCATCTTGGGCTAGTTATCCTCTACCTCACAGGCTTGTGGTGAGCTAAAATTGGTGGCTGAGGAGAAACAGGCAGACAGTCTTGAGTCCTTCGGAGGAAAGTTGAGGTCTCAAAGCACAAAATAAATAAGGCAGAATCTGGTGGTAAACACAACATCATTAGGTGTTTTTCATATTTTGATTCTAAGACTGTTCCTCATTAGTGACAGCATGCTAAGTTTCGGATGTCATTGCTTTTCAGTCTGGGTGACAGCTAATTATAGAACACTTAATTGCCTGAGCTTTGTTGTAGCTATTGTTGCTTTTATTCTGCAGTAGGTTCGCTGCTCATACTTTTATGAGGTAACAATATTCCTGTATCCCATCCAGTTGATATATAAAGTCTTCATCTGGCACTGGATAACAATGCAAACATCCCTGTGCAGGGACAGAGCCAAAATCTGAACAAAAACCTGCCTTATGTAATGAATAAGACCTGCATAAAAGCTGAAGTTTTAGAGACACAGGGAGCTACCAAAAGAACAGGCACAAGGCATTCAAAGTGAAGGACTTCTTGGTGCCTTTGCTTTATGGAAATAAAATAGAGCAACAGATTAATTCTTCCTCATTTAGATCTTTGGGGATGACCCACGTCTCAGGATGAACTGCCTCTGGGAACTGTAGTGTGAGGCCGGCTAGGTCAAGAGGAGACAACTCGCTCAAGGCTTTTGCTTGAAGCAGACCCTAAGCGGGGCGGCCCCTGGCCCCTGCCCAGTGGACGTTTCCCCACTCCCACCCACTTCCTTGGCTGCTTCGGGCCCAAGGGCATCACGCCACCCAGCGCCTTTTACTTGCTGTCGCCAGTGAGGTGTGGGGTGTGGGCTGGGATCAGCAACGTGCCCCTCTTAACATCTCGTATGACCTCCGTCTCTTTCTCCAAACAGGGATATGCTAGCGTTTCAGTTTGGGGTTTGCTGCTAGCCCTGTAGTCTAGCCCTGGGAGGGAAGTGCAGGCAGGCGGCTGGATGGATGGATGGAGTTTCTTATGGGCCAGACCATGTCTTTGCCACTGTCTGGGCACCCCAGATGCTCGCGGTCCCTCGGCTTTTCATTAAGAGCTTGTGAACTGGCCGACACACCCATGCCAAACACCTTTCCCTCCTGGAGTTGTCCTCCTTGCCAGCATGGTCACCTGCTGCTGCTGCTGCTTCTCCTCCTCAGCACTGCTACCAGGTGGAGAGCTTTCTTCACCCCAGCACAGCTGTCTGGGCCAGAGCAAGAGGTGGACAAGCAAGCAGGTTGCCATGGTGACGGGGATGAGCAAGTTTGGGGGCTCTTGGAGCCCACAGCAGGTGTGCAACTGTGGCGATGGCCATGCCACCCCCACCCCCATAACAACCCTGCCCTGTTCTACCAAGCCCCTTGACCATGCATATTTTCCAAAATAACTCATGGACTGGACTTGGGTTCCACCACTGCTGAAAGGGCCATTGTTCCTTTGCAATCGAAGTGGAATTGGGGTGCCTCTGCTCCTTCGCAGCACTGCCTCGGTTCAGGAGTCAGTCCAGATTATAATTCCAGGCAGCTACAAGTTTTGGTTCCTAGTGTATTTTTGTGCCAATGCATTTTCAGAGATTTCTCTTTATCAAGGCTGTGAATGAGTCGGTAAAATTTTGCTCCTGGTAGTCAGAAGCAGAGAGTATCATTTGGAGAATTTGAAGAATTAAATTCCGTTCGACAAAAGGAAATCTTTTGAAACTTGTCAGCATGCAAATATGTCAAGAATTTAACCTTGCATCTGTCTCTTTTGTTTTTGTTTGGCTGTTACAGCTGTCTTTTTGATCACGCATTGTTGTCTCTATAGTATTTATCAGCACACCAGTTGTGCTTTCTTCTTCCTAGTAGCTGCCATTTTAAAGTAATCATTATTTTTTCTAAACCATTTCTGCAGCATTTTCATGCACACCAAAAAAAGATTCATGATCTCATGAGGTGGTCTTGTTTTTAGTGTGGTGCCACGAGGCAGGCTTCATTTTATAGCAACCACTGTGGCTGGTCTTACACTTCACAGGTTACTCACATGAAGGGGCAAAGAATGTTGAAATGCAGGAATGTCATTGTGGGAAGCTGCACACAGAAAGCTTCTGCAAACACTGGAACCCTGCCTGCATTGGGGCCAGGAAAATCTTGTAGGTAGAGAGTTCCTCACCTACTGTGTGCACAGCAGGAATGAGATTTCCAGGTAACCAGGGCCAGTCCTGACCTGCTTCATCTGGCACTGTGAGGACATGAAGGCACAAACTGACATCTCAGCGATGCAGAAAACTTCAGTGCTGGGATGTGAGGAGGCATCTGGGGTCAGTTCAGGCAGCAAAATGTCTCAGTTGTAGCCCTGTAGGGAATCCCTTTCCAGTTTGATTTGTCTCTGTGGTGAGGTTGGTACACCACTGATGGCCATCATGGTGTCTGTGGACCTCCATCTAAGAGGTTTCTGAGCATCATTAACCTCTGCCACAGACTCCCTATTTGTTATAGATTTTAGGACATAGAGAATGCATGCTCACTTCATGTAGAGACAATGGCCGCACCATGGGTTGAGTGTGGGCTGTTGAAATGTAGGTTATCGTGCTGTCTGAACCCATCCGAGATAACTAACCATGGTAAAAAACCCACAGTTCACAACCCAACAACAAACTATGGCTTATCTTCATGGGTTGTTCATGGTTAACAAGCCATGATGGGGTTAGAGAATGGTTCAGCAGCAACCCAGATTTAAATTACATTCAGCCCTTGAGTATGGGTTTTCATGTTGTCCAGACCCAATCCATGTGACCTCTGAATGTTTCCTCAAGATGTTCTTCCACAGCTGCACATTGCCAAGCAAAAGGGTGTGGACAAGCTACCTTCCAGGAAAACTTTTTGGCCATTCCTAATTTTTTCAATGGGGGAACCTCCATAAACTTCTGAGGCACTCTAAGACAGCTTGAAAATAGAAGCTTGTTTGTCATTGCTGCTATATACCTTCTTTGCCCTCCCTAAATAATGTTCTTTCTTCAATTCCCAGATGCTGACAGACATTGTGAATTTGTTGGAAATCCTTTGAAGATTAAAAGCACTAGAAAATCATTATCATGTATCATTGGATACTTGGGTAAGTGCTCTTTAAACCAAATGAATCCTAAGATGATGCTACTTAATTAATCCTATTAGGCAAAGGACATTCAACTAAAATGAGCATGATGTAAATAATATTTAAGGGTGCTTTTTAGGAGAATGTAGAAAAACAACAGATCAGGAAGAACAAGGTTAGAACTTTTCCCATTTGTTTATGATATTTCTGTGCTATCTTTCCTAAGCCAAACAAAGTGGTTCACTGAAAAATGACAGAATAAAGCTATCAAATAAAAACACTGGGGCCTCCAGCACTAGAGGTGAACTGGCAGTACTCATGGAAGTTAGCTTTCACCCAGTCAGGCCAAAAGCGAGGAAGCCTGCCCTGCCATTAGGCAGAATGAGTCAGCTACCCCAGGTAATGGTGCTTTTCCACCAATTTCCGTTTGTCCTTTAAGCTAGACTGCTGTGGACCCATTAAGTTTCCTGAGTACTTTCCGATAGGCTGAAGGATGCTATTCTCAGAAAAACGCTGAATACAGCTCCAGTGTGATCAGACTGTGCATGGAAAGGTTGTGGAGAACTGCTATGTTATCCTTGGCTATAGACAACAAAATGTCTTGAGCTGACAATGTCAGAGGTCCATTTAGCTTAGCATTGTTTACTAAAGCCTTTCCCAACTTTTCATCCCCAGATGTGTGGGACTACAACTTCCAGTACCCCAGACAGGTTGGGACTGATGGGAGTTGCAGTTGGACACATCTGGGGTACAGGAAACTGGGGGAAGCTGGTCTTCCATATCTTCAGGGATTCTACCAAGGACATTTCCTGGCTCTGCTAACAAGATTTAGGAGGTGCCTGCATCTCCTAATCTCTCTGCATGCAGAGATGTGACTGTAGGAGACAAATTGTCAGTGCAGAGTTAATAATATCTGGACTGTGTCTGCTTGACTACAGGAAATCTGGCAAACAGCTAATTCGATATACATGCAATTTTGAAGGAACAAGTGCCAAAAAATGGCCATAACAAGGTGTCCCTAATACACCATTTTGATTAAATTTTGCAGAAGAATTGGTTTCAGTGGCTTTTCTTTTCAGAGCAATAGTTACCGAAACTTCATGGAAACTACAGTGCATTTTTCCATTCTTTCCACCTATGAAATGCATATCTGGAGCATATAATAGTAATCCAAGTTTTTAGCCACATTCTACCAGGAAGCAGAAAAGCAACAACGCACAGTCTCCAAAATTATTACTGCTGTTATTTGACGTAACCACAACCATTTCCTTTGAAAAAAATTACAGAGATTCATCCTGCAATGAAGCCTAATATAATCAAGTCAACACCCAGCCTTCAGAGTTCAATGGCAAAGCGATTGCTGGCTCCCCCTGGCCATTCATCATTAAGTATTTTGGGAAAGAGAAACTACAGCCATCATCATAATGGGCTGGATGGTATGTGCAAACCTGAAATATGAATGGTTGTCATTTTGTCATATGTGTATACATCAAGGTAGCATCAGATCTGTGCTTTTATGAATGCGGTGCTGATTCCTTATGCAGTAATGGTGGACTCGATGTACCCATGCCAATAGGACTGGATCCAGGCAGGAAATCAGCATGCTCAGGTGAAAATTATGGAATGCAAATGAGGGATGTGTGAGGAATCCACTTGGGGTGGAAAGTCTGCCAACCTCCTGGGCTCTGGTCTGCTTTTCGGTGGCCCAGGGACTGAGCAATTGAACCCCACATGTAGTGCAAGCAAAGCACTGACTGGGCATTGGGAATGGCGGCTGGCACACCTGCTCACCTGCCCCCTTTCCCCATGCGCCACCAGCAGCAAGGGATGAGTCAGGTTGGCCACCAGGAACAGCAGCAGCAAAAGGTTCCTGCTTGTGCAGCCAGGGGCCTTTGAATGCTCACGGGCTTCTTCTGGGCTTGGCTTTCTTCCTTAGAGGGGGATGACCATCTAAAGTCGTCTGACAGGAAATCTGATGGAACTGGGTTCCGGAAAGGTTCGGCATAAGCCTAATGCAAACATATAACACCAAAAAAACCCCTTGGAAATGTTCACTGGTCTCCTGTTGAGTGTCAGCTGGATCACAAAAATGGAAAGCTAAGGGAATGGAAGAAGGGAAGGGAAATTTCTTTCTTGAGTCCCTAACAGCTTATAGTATCTCCAAAGTAGGTATTGCCCACTTGCATCAGGAGCCTATCCTGCAACATTGTGTTATGGATCCCACATGCATTCTATAATTACAGAGCAAGAAAAGGTTACAAGCTGTCCTTTTGGAAGCATTTTTGTATAGATATATAAGTGCATGTGATCTAGGGCCGGCCCTACCATAAGGTAGTGTGAGGCAACAGCTTCAGTCAGCTGGTCAGCAGCAGCAGCAACTATCCAGCTCCTCCTCCTGTGTTTCCCAGCCATCCCCAGTTCTTGAACTAGGCTGATCTCCTCGTTTGGCAGAGGATACTATCGCATTAGTGCTGAACTAAGATTCAGCCGCCAGTCCAGTCAGCCTTGTGGAATCAAGGAGGGCAACATTTTGTTCTTTGTCTCGGGCAGCAAAATGTCTTGGCCCAGCCTGTGTTTATTCCACTCTTCTTCAGTGAAGCTTCAGATAGCATGGATATCCCTCACCTTTATCCTCCAAACAGAATATGCTAAGAAATCAGCCCACAGTATTTCAACATTTTCACTCTGTATGGGTGTGAATGCTGGACAGTGAAGAAAGCTGACGGGGAGAAGATTGCTGCATTCAAAACATGGTGCTGGAGGCAAGTTTCGGGAATCTCCTGGACTGGCAGAAAGATGAACAAGTGGGTCCTGGATCAAATCAAGCCAGAACTTGCCCTGGAAGCAAACATGATGAGACTGAGGCTATAGTACTAATGCTAGGGAGAGTCAAAGGCAGAAGAAGAGGGAGACAAAATATGAGATGGATTGATTCCATAAAAGAAGCCACAGCCATGAAATTAGAAGAGTTGAGCAAGACAGTCAAGACGGGAACATCTTGAAGGCCATGAGAGATGGCACGTAACAACGATGGCATTTTATTGCTTTGGATATGCAAGCCACTCTGAAAGCTGTGACTAAAGAGTGGCAACAAATACGCTTCAGATAAATAAATAAAATACGTAGGCACACAGTGCAAGTTCTCCTTTCTTCATCCATGTTCCAGTCGCTCTTTCTTCATCCCATTGTTCTATTTTGAATAACCCGAACCTGAGAAGGGACCATCAGTAAGGCAGCCTCATTTAGAAGCAGCTTCCAGTTGAGAGGGGTGAGGAAACTTTGACCCTTCAGATGGAATCCTACTCCCATCAGCCCCAGCCAGCATGTCCAATGATCAGGGATGATGGAAGTTGTATTCCAAAAACATCTGGAAGCTATAGATTCCTCAATGCTGCTTTATCGTATATTGGCTAAAAGTCTGAGCTATAAATCATGCTCATAAATTCTACTTTATCCTTGACAGAAACTTACTAGGTGGTCTTAAGGCAGCCTTCCCCAACCTAGTTCTCTCCAGGAGTTTTGAACTACAGCTCCCATTAGCCCCAGCCAGAATAGTCAGGGATCCTACAAATTTCATTTGTTTTCGGTTTCATATCTGCAACACCAGTGGCTGTGGTGGTAATGAGATGGTAATGAGATAGCCAGTGTGGTGTAGTGGTTAAGAGGGTAGGACTGAGATGATCTGGGTTCTAGTCCCCACTCAGCCATGGAGCCAACTGGGTGACTTTGGGCCAGTCACAGGCTCTCAGCCCAACCTACCTCGCAGGGTTGTTGTTGTGGGGATAAGATGGAGGAGGAGAATGATGTAAGCAGCCTTGAGCCCTTTGTAGGACATAAATGAAGGAAGGAAGGAAGGAAGGAAGGTTCAGGGTTGATGTAAAGAGGGCAACAAGGCAATGTGTGTGAGGAATTTTGTGCAGTGCACTCTAAAGCGTGGAATAAATGCTTGCTGTATTAACTAGGTTTGTATACTGAATCAGACAAACCATGTTTGTGTGTGAGAGAGAGCAAGAGAGAGAGAGGAGGCATGACAAGCTGTGCTTGAATTAAAACTTGAGAGAACACATACCCAAGAAGAAGATTATTTTCCCTCTGCCCTGCATTGCTATGACCTAAGTTGGATTTAATTCTCACTTCATTCAGGTTATGGAGAATAGTGCTTAAGCGATGGATTGTCAGTTTTCAAATACAGGCTTTTAACAGATATAGGCTTTAAACTTTACATATGAATATTGATCTTCTATAAATTTAATTCATTTCCTTAGTAATAGACTAAAATCTACTAGGAAGGTTAGCATAATTTTCATTCTCAACTCTGTTGTGATTATGGATCTCAGTGGCTGGCGAGTGTTGGTATTTATGCAAGATATATGTTTATTGTTTAGTCAGACTGAAAAAGCCTTACTGGAACTGGCTATTTTCTGAAATCTCTCTTTCAAGAGAAGATTCAGGTTTTGCAGTCCTTCAACCATATTTTCTCCCACCTCACACTGATCTCACCTGCTTGCACGAGCAGTTACATAAAGAGGAAAGGCAGAGCATTTACCCCCTCCACAGTCTGAATTAAGTTCCTGCCTCAGTCGTGAGTCTTCAGCAAGCAACCATTTCAACCGGAGCCCGAGCAGTGGTGGGAGGAATACTACCTTACGGAGCTGATGCAAGGATGATTCAAAATCTGTGTGAAACAGTTTGACACTCAAAGCACTGTATAAATGCTAAGGATGATGATGTCTCCAGTAGAACCATTAATATCAGGCCCCAGTCAAATTGGAGGGCTCTGCTTCATTTCAAAAAGACAGAATGATGTAGCCCCTTGGAGACACAGTGTTCCAAAGGTATTCAGCCTTGCTTGGCAAATACAAGTTGCATCTGTCTTTGTGCACAGGATCACCTGGGGAGTTGCCGGCAAGCTTGCAACCCTGCTGAGACCAAGTGGAGACACCAACTGTGTGTGCCACTGAAAAAAAGCTTCTGTATGATCTGCAACAATTACATAAATTGCAATTTCTGCATTATTTAATTACAGGGAAAGGCAAATTTTTATCCTTTCTTGGCTGAAATTACAGGAGTGCTGTTCAGTGTAGCTGTTCCAGTTCTTCATTTTGTCACATCGCGTGGGCAAATAGATTGGGCATCCTCTGTGATAATTTTTAGAGGGGATTTGTTTAAATTATTGCTCCCATCTCTTTTGCCCATACAATCACCAAGGTGCTTAATATTGTGTTATAGAAATGGATTTCAACAATAAAATATAGAAAGCATTAAAGCAAAGCCAAAGGTGAGCAAGATTCCTGTGATTTCATTCAAAATGATCTCTCCTCAAATGAGCTCATTTAGGGTCAGTTGGCAAAGGGCCTGAATTAGCTCACTTTAAAGGTCACTCTGGTTTGAGCTTCGAGTCTTACCATGCCTTTTATATGCCATACTCCTTATCTACTTTTTTGCTTGATTATTCAGATAAATATTTGGCTTGCTCGTGATTTTGTAGCTCAGAGTTTGGTGAGCATGACTGAGCTGGACAGAGTCAGGAAATAAAGGCTGAAGGCTAGAAATGCTGCAAGCACAATCCTATTCGTGTCAAGACAGATAAACCCTGACAACTCCCAACGTTCCCCAGCCAGCATGGCTCTCTGGGGAGGACTGGGAGCCATAGGACTTTCTTCTGCTTAAACCTGCATGCTCTCTTCTGACCAGTCTTAGGAAGACAATGCAGGCAATTAGTTAGAGAAGGGCCTTTTCAGGGGTGGTGCCCCAATTATGGAACATACTCCCCAGGGAGGTTCGCCTGGTGCCATCACTTTATTCTTTTTGGCGTCGGGTGAAGACCTTTTTATTCTCCCGATATTTTAACAGTTAATTGGTTTTATCCTTGTTTGTATCCTATCGGATGCAGTGTGCTGTGTATTGTCATTGTTATGATTGATTTTTTTTTTTTTTTTGGTTTTCTTTTCTTTCTTTCTTTTTTTTTTGTAAGCTGTCCAGAGACTTTTAGTATTGGGATGGCATATAAAATTTAAAATAAATGAATAAATAAATAAATTAGCATGTCTAGGCACACGCGGTGGACAGAGGAAGGAACATTCCAGCACTGGGTGCAAATGTCTGCACAAGCACTAATAGAGTTGATGGCTATCAAAAGGCTGAAACTTCTGCACAAATGGAACAACAGCTTTGGGCTTTGCTTTGTGTTTCTCATGCAATATTCTAGCACCGGGGCAGGTGACCTGGTGCTTTTAGATGTTGTTGGACCGTTGCACTGAAATGAAACAAGCACTGGAACATTCAACAGTTGTTTCAGGTACAAAGAATGGGGCTTCGGCGAATGGGGCGGCATAAAAATGTTTTAATAAATAAATAAATAAATAAATAAAAAGATTATTACTGGCCCATTAAAAGAAAGTCTGCAGCAGGGCTGGGCAGCTTGTGGCCAGTGGGGTGCTCTGGTAGTCATCCGCCTCAGTTAGCATGTCCGATGGACAGGGATTATGGGAGTTGGAGCCAAAAACACCTGGAAAGCATCACGTTTTCTACTCTGGCCTGATGTAAGAGGTAGAAGAGGAGCTCTTCTGTCATCAGGATGCAGGATGAGCACCTTTCAGATGCAATGCTATGCATTACTATTTTTTTAAAAGGATCTATTTTGAATCCAGGTCTTGTTGAGAGTACAGCTGGTCATTTTGGATAAGATTAACATCTCCATGTATACCAAAAGGGTATTTCAGCCAGGTTCAATGAGTAAAGATAGACAGATTTGGCGGTTAAACGTTCTCCCAAATTTAAGTGGTTTAACTCTCAATTTCTTTCCATCCCACTTATGAAGATTTGTGAATGTTGTGAATTCTGCAGTTCTTATCAGAAAACAAACCAAGCAATATTGTCATTCTTCTTCAAATTCATTAGGCATAGCTATTGGCAGCAGGCATCAAAGAGCAGTGTTTATCTTATCCAGATAGAAACAAAAAAACAGAGCAAGTCAGAAGGGGTCTCCCAAGCCATCTAGCCTGACCCCTTGGTCCAGCTGTTTTCACTCATGACATGCCTGCCATGTCAGATGTGCATGATGGCCCTGCTTCTGCATATGGATCCTTCTTGCTGGATTAAGGCCCCTTTCTTTTGTGAAGAAAACAAGTACTGAGGTTATTTTCACGTAAAAAAATATTTACGTTTCCATTTTTTCCCATTCTTCACTTGGCTTCAGCAAAGGTTCTCAGGAATCAGGTTTTCATCCAGTGTAGTGCCAAAATGTATAGGCAGATTTTTGACAAAACTAGATAAACCCTGGAAGTACCCAAGTTAGCAAATCAGCCACTCCATCTCTGGATCATTTCTTTTCAAGTTTCATGCTCTTGGGACACAAAAATTCTTCTGCCTGAAGAGGACTCCTAATCTTTGGATGCACAAAAATGCAGGCAAATACAGCGTGCCAGTGGAGTCACAAAAATGTGAAACTCAGCATGAACAGCTAAATAGTAAGCGGCTTCAAAATGTGAATCTGCATCAAAACAAATTGCTCCATTGCAATATTTACTGTAAGCTTCTTTGTGTCTCTGTGAGAAAACTGAAGTATCCATCTTCTAAATACAATGAGCCTAGTAGAAGGAACAACACCAAAGGTGTCCATTTTTGTGCCTGATCTTTTATTTTTCCTTCATTGATTTTTTCCTCTCTGAAATCAATATTCGACTCTTAGTTTATTTATTTATTTATTTATTAAAACATTTCTTGTTCATTTCCTTGGAAAACAAAATTCCAATATACAATCCTGAATCAACTTAATGTCTCATCTGTGACATACAAACACTGTGCTGGGAGTTACTAGAAGGAGCTGCACTTGTGTTACTACATTAAATCTTACATTGTTGTCTTACTTTTCTTAGTCTCATGTTAGATATCTGTGCCATTTCACACGCAAACTTAGGTGATCTTAGCATACTTGCTGGTTCTCACACACTTCACATTAAAAAACAATGCAAACAAAACAAAAACAAAAATGATGATGCACCTGAGCTTTTCTTTTGAAAAGAGAAAGGCAAGATCTAAATATAAGAAAGAATAAATCAAACAGATAGTGTAGCAAATTGTTGTTAGGGACAGAGCTATTATTTTTCTTAAAGGTCCCCGGGGTCCCAATTTCTTCAAGTTCTCACTTTCAGATGGGAGCACATAGACAAGGCAGAATCCATCATAACAATAACCCGCTGTAGTGGTCCTTCCGATTTTCATAAAGTTCCTGCCCCAATTTGCTCGAGCCCCACAGACTGAACCCTGTGGGAGAAATGAAGCACAGAAAAGAGGCACCGTCTTACAGTTCATATTCTGAAAATGCATTTCCTTTCCTTTTGCTAAATGAGTTTGCAACTTGTGAATTTGTGGACTAAAATGAGTGCATTTGTTTATAGTCTCAAGTCTTAATATTACATAAATATAGATTAACCTCAGCCCCCTTTGGAATGCTCAAATCTCCTACACAGTCAGCATCTCATGAGAGCAAGCAGGGATGCGCACACTGGCATACTGGGGAGGAAAGTGATAGCTCTGTCTCCTCCATCGCATGGTCCCGCAGGCTCCCACCTCCTCCCTGTATTTGAGGGCAGGCCTCTGCAGCACAGAGCCAGCATGGAATTGTGTCCATGGGACACCCTGCTTGCCTCCTTTGATGATGGAGAAGTCCGGACTAGGGGAGTTTCATGGGTCAAGCAGCCAACTTGCTACAGGTTCCACACTTCTGCGCTGCAGCTTCTGACCAGTGGCAAGCACATGACAAAGGGGACAGAGGCTTTAACCTCATGGTTGATTTGAATGCCAAACGGGGCTCAAAGGCCGAATGTGTAACTTTACAGATGTTCCATTAGGGCAGGTTTCTCCAATCTGGTACTTTTCAGCTGTGTTGGATTACAACCTCCTGCATCCCCTGAGTGGGGATCACAGGAGGTATAGTCCACCTACAGGTTGCCAGGTTGGGAAAGGCTGTCTTAGGGCACTGTTTTCATTTTGAGATGGATTCCATCCTCCTTCAGGCCTCTTCATTTGAACATAAGAGATATATGGATTCCTGCGAAATGCTTCTTGACTGCTCCATGATTATTTTTCTTATCTGCATTGGGGAGCTTTGTCTTAATTGTCTAGCTGAATTGCCAGCCTCATTTCCTCAAGTAATTGTACTGCTTTTAGGAGAATTGATTAGTCACTTAGCTGAACTCAAATGCTCACTCAACACAACTTGCCAGACCATCTGGGTATGTATATAGGAAAGAAATTATACATAGGTCAAGCTTGATTTTAGGAACAAGAAAGCCATTTGCAGGTGGCTGCTAGCTTTTTATTGATTAATTGCATTTTTAGACCACACACTAGCCAAAGCACACTGATTACTAACAGCCATAGTAGATCTGGGAAGGACCAAAGGTTGATCTTCAAATGCTCCTAGAAACACCTGCTAACATGGTCAAAAGTGCTGGGAGTTGAAGTCCAAAATATTTGGGAATCTGCTGTTTGTCCATTCCTGAGCGATTTATTCAGAAGAAAGGGTAGTAGACCAGTCTAGTTTTCTCCTGCCATAAGGAATTAGTTTAGCAGGCAAGAAGACACTTCCATCCCCATGCCGGTTAGCCACAGAATGTTCAGAGGTCCTCTGTTTCTAAGGTCAGAGGTGGAGTTGTGAAAAATCCTATGGCCATCCAGTGTGGGCCTAGGGGCCAAAGAACTGTGCTGTTATTGTATTTTAGATCTTAACTGCTTCACTCTGATGTGATATTGTAGCTGTTAACTTATTTAGTCTTTCCATTTCTGCTATTTTAAATCTGTCATTGTATTCCAAATCTTTGCACTGCTGCTGGGTTTTATTTTGTTTGTTCTTTAATTTTTTAGTGTAGTTTTAAACTTTTAAGCTTGATATTGTTTCTGTCTTACTGTATTTTATGGTTTTCATTGTTGTGAATGTTCCAGAGAAATTTGGCTATTCGGTCACATACAAATGAAATAAATATATAAAATAGCTATGAATTGTCTTGCAAATGAACAAACAAAGCACAGCTTGTTTTTTCAATTTTCAATTTGTTTCTGTCCTGCCGATTTTGCCATTTTAGAACAGTTTCTTTTTCAAGCTGCTCTGTCTGGCACCTTTGTTTCAACACAGAGAACTCATGGTTTAAACAAGCCAGACTTCATAAACCAACAACAAATCATGTTTTCTATTTGTGGTTTGTAGCTGGTTAGCAAACCATAGTTTGATTGGCAAGATGGATTCAGACACTTGGATTCAGACATTTGGATTCAGCCAAATTTCAGCAACTCACACCATGGTTTAGCATTACATGCAAACCAGGTCAATGTAGGGCATTCTCTGTGTGTGTGTGTGTGTGAGTGAGAGAGAGAGAGAGAGAGAGAGACTGAGAGAGAGAGATGCCATTATGGAGATGTAAGAAAAATATTAAAATTTTGCTTCAAAGTAAAAGTGAGCACAGGTCTAATCTAAATTGTTCTATTTGTGTATGTATGTTTTTAGGGCTCTCCAGTCATGCACATGGAACTAAAATGGTAAGTTCTCACATTTTTCTCCTTTGAATTGCTTTGAAGTTTATCTAATTTAGTATTTCTTTTATTTAAAATAGTCTAAGCTGTCTTTTAGGACAGAGCCTCTCCTAAGGCAGCTTACAACATTAAAATTCTCATAGTAAAAATAAATAAATAAAACAAATACAATATTTAGGCAGAAAACAGTTGTAAACTATAGACCACAACATTACAACATTAGTACAACTCTAAAGTAAGCACGTAGGTTTTCAGGACCTACCAAAAAGACTGCAGTGCCTTGGTCTAGTGGCCACATAATGGCATCTCATTCTAGAGGTGCAGGGCCACTGCAGAAAAAGTCCTTTGCATGGAAATGAAGCTGCAAGTCACATGAACAGGGTTCAGACAATACTCCACGGCTTGCTGTGAGTGATTTCTCTCAAGATGGGCCACTGCACCCATCCAGGGTCCAGGCTGAAAATGCTACCACCATTTGGCGAGTTGTCATGCCATGTGAACCTGGCAAGTATGGATTATATGAGAGTTAAGCAAGGGTTGTTTAACCAACACATAACCCATGCTGGCTGCATTCTTACAAAACAGCACCCCCCAGTGGGTCACATGCAGAGGTTGCATATTCTAAACAGTGGCCACACACACCACTGTTCATAACCTATTCATAATCCATGGTGGCCTCTTATGTCATGTAACTAGCTCTAATATCTTCAGCGGGGTTTACTCTTCAGGTGGTATCAACCTATTCTTCAGAAGTTGCTAGTAAATTCTTTTGACATCTATGGTATGGCTGCTTCTTTATCCACTACTGAATGGGAGCCAAAAGTGTTAATCTGGAGACGATGGAGGCCTAGGCATAAAGTGCTAAACTGCTTCAAAGTTTATTCTGTGTGGTCTTGGACAAATCAGCTCTCTTCCTCCATGAGCTCTTAGCACAGGCTGAAATTGAAATAATATTTTTAGTGCCTTCCTGCAAGAATATTTTATGGCTTTCTCTTGTTTGTTCATTGTCGAGAGAGAGAGATTGCTATTTTGATCTGCTTAAAAATTATGCTATAAATCAGGAAAACACAAGCAACGTTTCCCCAGTCAAAGCTAGTACTTAACAGCTGTCCATTTTTAATAGCCTGTTTTCTTTTGAAGAAATGAAGATTAACAGCTGCAGGGCCTCAGAGAAAACTGGAATGGTAACATAAATAATTCCAGTTTCTTCTTGCTATTAAAAACCCACAAATGTGGCAAAGAGATGCCAAGACCCCACAGTGAATGGAGAAATGGGAAGCTAGGATCATACCTGGAACCTATGTAGTAGCCCCCCAGTTGAGAATGAAATGGAAGTAGCTCTTAGGTACTCTGTTAGGTCAAGAGAAACAGTTTCAAGCACCATCAGACGGCAGCGCCTAGAATTGTCTAAACAGGAAAACAGGAAACAGTGGATGTGTCCAGAAAGATGCACTCGCTGTACTAGAAAGAAACCAGCTATTGGTTACCCTGTTTTAATTATTCTTCCTCTACGACAGTGGTGGTAAACTTATGGCATGTGTGTCACAGCGGGCACAGAGAGCCCTCTCTGTCAGCACACGAGCCAAGTCACCCCAGCATCACCCCAGCAGCCAAGCATCGGATAACAGTGCACACTGGGGCCATGCGCATGCTCATAAAAGGAACAGTGGAGCCAGGTGATGACATCACGAGCCGCGACTCATTAGCCCCGACTCGTCTGAGCTTTCACATGGCTGGTCAGTGCACTGCCAAGGAGAGATAGATAGATAGATATGTGCTTGGACTGGCTGTGAGTTGTTTTTTCTAAACTAAAACCTCAGTATTCAGGTTTTATTGCAGTGTTGGTACTTTACAATAAATAAGTGGCTTTTGGGTTGCAGTTTGGGCACTCGGTCTCTAAAAGGTTTGCCATCACTGCTCTATGACATAGTAGGAGAAACCCAAGACCAAGTAGCACATGCAGAGGAATTGGGGATTGGTAATTAGAAAGGAATCTCCTTGCTAGTTGCATTTTTTTCACTGGCAGCAGCAGGCACTGGGGGATGGTCTACTGGGTCGTCAGAAATGGCTTGCCAGGCCCTCCAAGCGCTGTCCTCCCCTGCTGCTATGGTGGGAATTCACCACACATGTTGTCTCCACGTGTGGGTCCTATACTGCCATCACAGCCAATGCACACTTGCTGATTTTTACACTTGCTAGAGAGTGTTCACCCCATGTAGAACAAATGATTAGGGCCAAATAGACATTTTCTCTGTATCTATTTGCAATGTCTCCTCCCACCTACATTTTCACTGCAAGACTGCTGCAGGCACTGGGGTCCTGAAACAATCTTAAATGACAATCAAGCTGTACCCCCACTCAAGGGTACTGATTCAGATTAGGTCTCCTGCCTGTCTTAGAATAGTTTTTTAAAAGCTGCTAGACACAAATTTAAGTTAATGCCAATTTTCACCTTATATAGTATATAGTATAGTATATCTGCTGTATAGTATATCACTCTGTGCATCTATTCAAAAAGAAGTCCCATAGAATTCAATGGGATTTTCTTCCAGGTAAGTGTGCACAGCAGTGGTAGGAAGTCTTTTTCAGCCCAAGAGCCAAACTCAGTTCTGGAAAGGTTTTTGAGACTCTTGTGGCAGTGCTGTGGGAGTCAACCCAGCTAGAAATACTGGCATGTTTTAAGCTGAAATCTTCTACTGCTATTTAACAAGTCTTAGAAAAGCAATTTCTAAGACTTCTAGAATGGAAGAAAACCCTGTACAAAAGCCAGGAAACGGCCAAGCAGCAGGTGCTTGGGGAATGGGGAACACAGAAGGGGGGGGGGGCTACACCGAAGGGGCCCTACAGAACTCCAGAGTGGCCTCCAGGCCTGAGAATCCCTCTTCTTGGTTTACAGGATTGTAACAAGGCAGTAAAAGTCTTTCTCACCAGCTGAGTTTTGGCTAGCAGCTGGTCATCCCAAATTCATATCATCCGGTGACTCATTGCTCTGGACAGATCTCTGGCTGTAGGTCTGGTCTTCACTTTACCCTGATACAAATGTGAATGCTCACTGTTTGCTGCAAAATAGCAGAATAGCTCAGTGATCTAAACAGTCCAGAGCAAAATGCCAGATGTTTGCACTAGGACTAAATCAAGATTGTTGCTCATATGCATGTTTCCTGCAGGTACACAGGGTATCTGCAGACATTAATGTCATCAAGGGTTCATTAGAATGTCGCCACAGGCTTTTTAAAGAGAATTCATTAGATTTCCTAAATCTAGCACATACAACTCATAGCTATAACAAATTCAGATGTGATCATATGTAATCAGTGCTTTGTGTTACCTTTTCTATTAATAGGATATGAAATAGTGTTCTTTGTATCTAAAATAACCTTTGCTTTTCCTTCCAGTTAATTTGCTACATTAGTAATTCAAAATTTCCATCACACAATTCACCTATTCTTAAATTTTGCTTTCTAGGGGAGAAAGCTGGGTTACTGCATTTCCCTCATTAATCATTTGCATCAATCCATCTCAACACTTTTGATTAACTCAGAAGGTGCCCTGATTAAATGGGCAGCAGATTTGAAAATGACTGTTATTTCCATAAAGCTAGTAAAAAGCCATCTTAGAGAAGGCCCTTCCTTAGAGATAGGGCAGAATGTCTCTTTTAAGATCATGGGCTGTACCTAGTGCTAGCCATTGGTTTCCTTGCAGGACAAGTCAGCAGAGACCCCAGGCTGAGTTAAGGCTGGTCTAGAGCAGGAGTGGAAATTAATTTTAGCCTTAGGCTAAATTCCAACCTGGGAAATGCTCAGGGACTGCATTCCAGCACTGGGAGGGAACTGAGGAGAAAGAAGGCAGGGCCAAACCCCCAGTCCAAAGAAACCAGCACATTGTAGCTTAATGTTTTTATAAGCAGACACAAAGGCTTGGGAGGAAAACCTGTCAATGTTTAGGAATGGGGAAAAGTTTCACAAAAGCTGGAAAACCCATCAAATGATACATCATGGGGTAAAAGAGAAGGAGCTGGGGAAGAGGGCTTGTCCATCTGGGAAAGTCCGGAATACTGGATTTTATCCCTGGGCCTCAGGTTCTCCATCCCTGCTCTAGAAACTGTACCTTTAGGTGTGCTCCCTGCTGCAGAGAAGCCTCTGAGTCATGACTTGACCCCCCTGCATAGCTAGCACGTTGAGTCACCTTTGCTAACCTGGGAAGGTGTGGGCGTGCAGCTGGATGGGCTGGATAGGCTGGCCCCTTCCAGCTCTACTTCTGGTGTGGTGTGCTGTGCTCTACTAGCTAAGTTTATTTATACAAAAAACTAACCAACCCACCCACCAATCCACCAACCAGTGTTGCTTCAAGCTATGAGTAGGGTGGGTACAAACAATGGCTGCAAAAGAGCCAGGCTGGTTGAGCAGTGGCAGCAGCTACCTTCCATAAATCAAGCAACCCGTGAAAAAAAGTTGATGCTGGATTAATGGGAAATAGTTCTAGCCTTCCCCTTCGGGACAACATGCCCTGCTATCCAAGTAGATCCTTCACTGGGGAAAACACTTGGGCAGTGCCCCTCTTGGACCAGTGAGCTAGCTTATGCTTTCCCTCCCTTCCTGCTTGATGCCCGACCTGGGAGCCAAGCCTTTAATCCTTCCTCCCTCTTCCCTTGGTGGCGTTGTTCCCATAGTTTCCGAAGCCAAGTTTAGTTGCTGTTGTTTTAAAACCTCAGCTGTTCTGCCACCTCTTTGCACTCCTTATCTGAGTCAGAAGCCAATCCTTGACCTCTGGAGATGTCCTGCTGAGAGCTGGGCATAACCCATACTGAGGCTTTGATACAGCAATGCTAGTTTCATTAGGTAGGTCTCAGTCAGTTCAGCATCTGCATGGGAGCTCAGCTGCAAGTCTGGTCTACTCCACATTGCACAGGAGAAAGCCAGGGCATAACTCCAGTACACAAAATGACATCTGGGCTTCAGAGATGGGCACGAGAAGTTCTGCAGATGCAGCATGGGTCATTAAGGTTGGTGGGATCCAGTATGTCCTGAGTAGCACAGCACCACATAGCCAATGCATGAGGAAGAGATGTTGGCTAGTCTATTGTGATTCCACCTCCCTTCTCTGGAAGGCATATGCCTGGTGTTGAAAGGCTGGGCTAGGACAAATTTAAAGGAACAGCCCTAAAAACAGATTTTGTAGCAGGTCAATGGAAGGGCTTGAGGCAATTTGTAAGGGTTTTTGACTGATTTGAGCTCCAGAACAAAAAGATCTACCATATATTGTGGTATGTGGTTGGATTATCATGGAAAATTAATAGTGAGAATGTTCCAGCATGTGTGGAATACCTCTGGTTTTTCAGATTTTAATTAAGGGAAAAATTGATCCTAGAGCCCCCAGGGTTCTTGCTACTACATATATTACACCAGAATTTTCTCCATTTAGCCTGCTGTCAGACACCACAAAACAATCAGAACATGCACTAGACTGGTATAAATGTGAAGGCAAAAATTATTTACCCACTTCTTTTTTTGTACCACTGGCAATGCTCATACTATCTTATTCCATTTGCCCTTCCCAAAGTAGTCAGAAATGGCTGCATGGGGATTTCAGAATAATTTCTTTACCAGTAATGGCAACTCTATGCTTTTTCTTGGGAAATCGTCACATCTTCCATATCTGGCAGCATTAAAAATGGAATACCCCAAACTAGCATGTCCACATGCCCAACTGCACAGCAGTTCATCACTCAACCAGTGTAAATAATTAGGAAGGCCTAACGAAATACGGATTGTCCACACAGCCTTTGCCACATCAGATCCTGGGGCAGCAGTAGAAGGCCTGAGGTAGTGTATGAAGGCTGTGAGAGGATTGATGGGACAAAGCTAGTGGAAACTTCATCTAGTTAAGTTGGCAGGAGTGTGTATGGCCCCGCCTTAGACTGAGTCCTACGGCTGCTTTTCCTGTCCTTCATTTAGAAAAGACTTTCCATGTGTTTGAGGTACAGCTTTTATCATCCCTTCCCTTTGGTCATGTGGGCTAGGCCTGGTAGGAGTTGTAGGTCATTACATGGGACTACCAACTCGCTTTGGTTAGGTGAGAGCTGTGTTTTTAGAGTCCCTGGTGCTGTCCCAAATGGGTTTTTATCACTTTTGGCTGGCATGATGGCCATATCCTTCCCAGGAAAGACCAGGCCTGTCTGTGCTCATTCTGTAGCCTCTAGTGTTCACTGCTGCATTTGAGCACGGCCTTGAAAAAAACGCAGGAATTTTAACTGGTACAACATGATGTTGCCAACTTGCTGGCAGGGATTGGCATAGTTCTGCCTGAACTGGTTGCCCACATTTCTGGCTTCGCTCCCTGTGTTTGTTCTTGCCTTCACATCCCTAACGGGCTTTGGATCCAGGGCACTTTAAGGACTGCCTTCGGCCATACGTACCTCCTGAGGAGCTCTGTGCAACCTCTGCGATTTTTAAAAAATCAACAAGAAAGATAATATTTAAACTTATATGTTGAAAGGAAATATCCATATCAGAATGTGATTTCTCTCAAGCTACATACTTCTAAACATATTTTACCCTAAAACATGCAGTTTCTTTGAGCCATGAAGAGTATTGCAAACTCTGAAGTTGTGCAAGAGCTAAAGCGTAAACCATTTTCCACCTGCTCGCTAGTCTGGGACTGAGGGATCATGGCAGTTTGAAACACAGATGACGCGAAACCCTTGCTCTTTCCAGCTCTTGCTCCGTGACACTTGATGCAATGTGGGAAGTGAGTTCTAGGGTCCCCTCTGCATTCTTGAATGTTAGAGAAGGACACGACCTCTTCCCTACAGAGGGATGAGGTCTCTTACTTTGACTGGACATCTGCAGCATTGGGTACTGTGCTATTCTTTGGTTGTCTCCTGAGATCTTCAGGCAATCTGTGCCAAGAGGGCCGAGTGGAACATAAGGGGAAAATGGAACTGTTGGAGCCAAGAATATACCATATTTCTGCCCTAGCTTGCTATGTATTCCCTGCCTGCTCACTCTCAGTGTCCTGGCACTTTTACACAGCTGAAGCATGCATGCACTGTGAAAAGCGGAAAAAGCCATTGGGAAAGAGGCAGGTGGTAAAGCTCACCCTGGGACTATCCATACTGATTTAAACCCTGTGTGTGTGTGTGTGTGTGGGAGGGAGGAATGTTTATGAAGCACATTTTATTCATCTCAGATGGGACTTACATAGGACTGACCAAGGCATAATTTCAGTCCTCTGAAAAAGTCTTCAAAGGATATAAATGTGCTTCTTTCAAGCCAAGGGTTTTCTGTCAGGAAATGAGCACACTTTTGTGAGGAAAAGTTTGCATCCTGCAGAAAGGCTGAGGCCTCACCTGGAATTGTGCTTCCAGAGTGAAAGGAGAGTGATGCATGTTTCTGTGGTTTGGCACCGGTCCAAAGAGATGTTGTTGGGATAGGACATCGCGACACTGTATTTGACACCAGCTTCAGTGGTGCATTGATTGTGGCTTGCAGCAGTGGGAAGACATGCTTCCCCGCGGCTTTTGGGAGAGCACTCTTTATGTCGTGTTCTGCTGTTCATATCTCTGCTCCCTCAGTTTCCTTTTGTTTTGCATCCCCTATTCTCCTTCTCTCAGGCCTTCTAATAAGAGCACATTCAATCTTCCCAGCCTATCTGAACACCACATTCATAACCATTGACGCCAAGGCATTCCAGCATGCTTCTAACAGACCTCACTTGGTGTCAATCAAGCCGTGACAGAAGCAAAGTTCCAGTCATGAGTAATGGACCTGAGCTCCGAGTTAGTGATTTGCCCAAGGCCACCCTGCCTGGACTGGAATTTAAGATCTAGACTAGGCCCAGTTCAACAAATGCATGCAATGTCTTCTCTTGTGAGGTGGTCGAGGCATATTTCTTGCAGTAACACAGGGGCAAAACAGGCAGTGGGTGGTACTCATAAATGGCTAATATTAAAAGGAGGCAGATTTGATGGCTGATATCAGGAGGACAAGGGCACAGCAGTAGGTGCCAGTATTAGTAGGAGGAGCCACAGCAAATAAGCACGTTCTTCCCTGTAATGGGCTGTACTGAGGTTTTCTCTGATCGGAGGAGAACATGCTTCTCCTTGCTGTCCGAGGTGCCCAGGGCAACAAAACTGTATGACCTGAAAGCCCTGCATGCGGTGGGCCACCAGATTACTAGAACTGACCACCAGAGGCATTGCTGCACAAAGAGTTATGCATACACCAAACCTATGCATATAACTCTTTGTGCATATGATTATTAATTAATAACATTCCATATTAGAGAGTGGGAATGCACATTGGACCTAGATTTAATTGCATCTGAAATCCATGGGATTTAAGTTACCTATCCCTCAATTCTTCATGATGTAAACGGTTCTTCTCAAAGCATGTCTAAGTCTCATAGGGCAGGGGTCAGCAGCTTGAGGCGTTCCAGGTGTTTGGGCATACTGTGCCCATCAACCTGAGCCAATTATGAAAGATCACATGAGTTGTCGACTAAAACATTTGGAGGGCTGCAAGTTGCATAGAAAAAAACCATATAGTATCCTTGATATTGAACTGAAGCTCTCAGTGCTGCATTTGGAGTGTTTGCTTGGTGCTGCTCTTAACTGCTGGCTACCCATGCGCAGGTTGAAAGACAGCACAGGCCAGGGATGCAAAAACTTTAGCCGTCCAGGTGTGGCTGACAGCTTCAGGCCAGCTTCAGGCCAGTGGAAAAGCATGATAGGAATTACATCCAGAAACGTCAGATAGGCCACAATTCCCCTGCTCATGATTCATAATAAGGGTATGATTATAGGGAGTCCCCATTCTGTGAATCTTTGCAAAAGCCCGAGAACTTCAAGGGTGCATTGCCATGCAACAGAGCAGGGAGGTGGGCGGATTTCTGGTCCAGGAAAAAAAAAAAAAAAGGTCACTCTTACTTTTTCCACTCTGCATTGGATTGCAAACCATGTTTCTAATTGTTTGTATCTATTTCTTGACAATGATTTCAGCAAGCTGCACACGATTTCTATACCACTAATGGTAAAACTTTACAAGTCGGCACAAGTGACCTTACTCCAGGCGTTACTCCATTGCTCAAGAGGCAGAGGCAAAACTGGCTCAATGCTCCAGACGATGGTTTCTTTATTGCTACCGAAGAGACCAGGTAAGATAAAGGGGGAGACAAGAGCCTCCATGAACCCAGAGCACGAGCAGCTGCTGACATAGTTGGGCGTCATTCTGAGAAAAGGCGGCGTGTTCGGCTGCGTGTGTGACAGAGCAACAAGTGCACATTCCAGTGTGTTTGACAGCTGCAAGAACAGTCACCGCTGCACATTATTAATGTTTATAGGCGTATCTAAACCGGCGTGAAAGCTGTGATCAATAATTCAATAGGCTTCATTTATATATGAATCTCAAATCAACAGCAGATCCTCAGTCCGATTATTCTGTACAGAAGGACTGCCAAACCTCGGGCCTGAGCGCTGTTTTCAGCCCTCCAGGGTCCCCAGGGTCTGAGGAACTCCAAACGGACAGAACTGGCTTTGGCCCCTTTTTCCTAACATAAAACAGCTGCAGTGCATCTCTCAAGGTTTACATGTAGCACTGAGAGTTTAAATGAAAATATTTTTGGCCTTAGCCCTTTTGCCCAAAGCCACACTAGCCACTGAAGGATGGTTCCCCAATTCTCTGGTAAAAAGATAGCTTAATGAACTTTTCCATACCTGCTCTTTTGGAAGGATTGATTGATTGATTGATTAATTAATTGATCGATTGATGATGTTTCTATCCTGCCTATTTATATTCCTTCCTGCAAGGAACCAAAGTTACAAGACCCTCCCCTCCACTTTATCCTCGTGGCAACCTTGTGATGTAGTTTAGGCTGAGAGGCAGTGACTCGGCCAAAGTCACACAGTGAGCTCCATGGCTGAGTGGGGACTAGAACCCAGTCTCCTTAGTTCCAATCCAACACTCTAACCAGTATGTAACACTACCATAATTAAGCAAAAAGTGAGTTCCTCTCTTTCCATTGTGCTTGTTTCTTCCTGGCTGTCATCCTCTAGGCAAGGAGAAGAGTTACCCATACCTAGTCCAGTGAGGTCTGCAAAAGTGCCCCTTTACTTCTTTCCCTATAAGTTATTTACCACTGGGGCCAAAACGTGGGGGAACTGAACTGTTGCACTTGCAGACAATGCTGCAGTCAGGTTCCCTTCACAGAGACCTCATTCCCAACCAGCATGCTTCTGCGTGTAAGCTCCTAGGGGCAGGGAGCTGGCCACTGGTCGTCTGTGGAGTGTCATGCTCACAGATGGCACAATAAGTAATTGTACAGGAGTGCAAACTCTGGGCTTTTGTGTGCAAAGGAGTCTGGCACACCCATCAAAACAATTTTGCTTTTCCACCCATAAAGTTCCTTGGTTCCTTCCTGCTTCTGTCTAACAATTAAGAAATGGTTCTTTTGCTCATGCAAAAGGAAGATTTTTCTCTCCCTGATATTAAAGCTGCCATCTTTCAGTTCTGTGGCAGTTTATTGTGTGGGATTTTTATGCTTCCTGATATATTCTGCATGTGACCATTCTTAGGCTTATCTTTGTATAGAGAACCAAGGCAGCCTGCAGTGTTTTCCTTGCTCAGCCTTTTTATTGTTCTATTCTTTACAAGACTAGTTGCTACCAGTGCAATTGGCTGCAGTGAAAAAATCTACCAATTATAGTTCACCCTTGCATGGTGCGATGATACAACCCAGACTTCAAATATGAGAAAATGGGCAGCTTTACTTGAGATTTGTGTCTCAAATACTCTGGGAGGATATTTACATGGTTGCTTCATTTTTCTAGGCTGCAATCCACCTTCCCCACCTTCCACATGCTTTGGACAGTTCTATCCAGCTAGCCTGCCAGAGGGTCCTGCCATGGGGCAGGAATGCTGGGATATAAAGTCCAAAACATCTGAAGGGCACCAGTTTGGGAAAGAATGAAATAGTCTGAAAGAAGTTTGAAGAGGAGAATAATCTTCTTAAGAGTTTGCATAGCCAGTTCTTTGGACACAAGGACAGGTTTGCATGTCCTGCTTGTTGCAGCATGTGCGGTTCTTTTGCAGGCATTTTCTCTGTTCATCACATTCCAATGTGAACAGCATGCGCATGCGCATAAGAGCCTATCAGTTCTGGGAAACTCAGGGTCTCACTGTACATATAGATTGTTTCAATCCTGGTTTTTTGCCATGAGAAACAAGAACTGAAAATCATGGACATTCGAGGCTGATGGCATTGCAGTTAGCTTTTGATACAGGATCATAAAACTACTTATTCAGTTGCACTAAGTGTTTTGGAGCTCATATGCACAGCTCAATATAGCTGAAACATTGGTGGAATCTCTGCCCCTCTCCCATGTTAATTAGTGAAACGTTAATTGTAGAACTGAAAGAAAAATTAACCTACAGGAATCAGGCATGCTTACTGCTGGGTTTATGCTGTTGGTAATTATCAGCTTTATTTATTTTAAATGTAGGCATTTTGCTGCTTTTAGCAACACTCTAGGCAGCTAGCCATAAACAATAGCTAGCATTTAAAGAGCTGCACAGGATTGTGCAAGAGGCTAGTCCACTGTGAGTTTTCACTTCTTTTGGTGTCGGAACTGAGCTGTATGCAGCTGCTAGAAATCAGCCAGGAGGCATGGGTTGAATTCCGAGCTGCAGGGCCAAGTCTGAGTTTAAGAATGCACATACATGCACCAAAGCCAGAAAGGATATGGCCAACTTTATAGAAGTCAGTCTTCTATTGGAAGACTATTCAGTTAAGTTTAAAAGTAAAGAAATGAAAGAAGGGGGGCAGTCCATTCACCTTTAGCTGAAGGCTTAGAGCTGACCTAGTCATAGATTCCCACACCATGGTGGGACCATATTTCTATTTCAATTATAATTTATAAATGTGCATTATTGCAAGTTAGCACGTGAAGGTTCTTCACAAATCTCTGCCATCTTTTCCCACTCTCTTGGTGAGGCGTAATTGGTTACCCCAACAGCTGGCCTGAGAAGTTCCCAGCAGAAAGAGATTTTTGTAGCCCTTCCTGCCCAGGAAGGCTTCCTGGTTGCCCAGGGAGGCAGGTCCAGTCCAGTGTACAAGCCCCCCAGTGCCAAGAAGATCTCAGGAAGGTCATCCAGCAGGGCCCAGGTGGTCTCCTTGATATCTCCAGGTGGGGCTGAGAAAGAGCTTGGACTGAAGCTGCTAGTCAGTGTAGACTGGGGCAGAAGGTAGTATGTGAGCCATGGACAGGACGGTCTTCCATGGGCTGCAGGGCCTCCCTGGCCTTTTTGACAGCCCCCACTGCTGGTCTCCCACTCCGTGGAGCAGAACACCCAAATTGAGCTCATGCCTTTTCAGCTCTGCAAATGGAGCAGGGCAGGAATCTTTCAGAACTCCCTCCCCGCATTTGGGCCTTAGAAGTAGTTGCGCATGACTTCATATCCTGATTGTTCTATCTGAAAATGAACTATGCTTATATAACATCTGTTTCCATTATAACTGAATGCATTTATTTTGATTCTCATTTGCCTTGGCATAATGTCCCCAGTTCTCCAGGGCTGCCCCAAGGGATGCTGATGTTGCTCAACACTGGAATAGCCCTAAGGCTGAGCTTCACCGGTACCATCCCTGATTTCCAGCTTTGCAACAAGCCATAGTTTGCTCTTGCACCCATATCAAAGCTTCATTTTCTGCAGAGGAGGCTGTGAAGCTGTGGAAGCAAAATGATGAGGAACAGCAATTCCAGCCGGCTGCAGCTGAGAGCATGAATGGCAGAGTAAGGCAAGCTGTTGGGCTTCCCTGTTTCTTCCTTATTCTGCGGTCCTCTGCCTCACGTTTCCTCCAGCAGAACCCCCATAGTTTAAACCCCCATAGTTTAAATCTAAATAGATTTAGATCCCTGCTGGAAAGAGTGGGAAGTCCATTCTGTCTGCATCTTCCTCCCCCTGGTAAAAAGACACTGTTGGATGCAACCCTAGGCTAGGAAGTGCCCGGAGGAGGGAATGGATGGTCCTGGAATAATAAAAAGGTGGTGTTGAATCAGACCAGGGTTCCATCTAATCCAGCTTTCTTCTGGGAAGCCCCCAGACAGGGCAGGAATACAACCCTTGCTGTTTCTCCCTGGCATCTGGCAATCGGGGATGGAGAGGAAGGTCCCATTTAGCCATTATTCTGAGCTAATTCACTTTCAGTCAATTGATTACATGTGAGCTTCTCTAATCCGATCACTTTTTCCCATCATCAGGTCCGTTGTCTTCACAATGCCTTATGAATACATTAAAAATACTAATTGCATGTGCAAAGCAGTGAGTTGCGATGTTCCCTCCATCCTTCTAAGTGCATCGACCATTGCAGGTAGCTCCATTCTTCCTGCACCATTTCACCAGGCTCTCTCAGTGGAAATTACTCTTTGTACTTTGACCCTTTTATGTCCAGAAAAACTAAAGTAGGACTATGGAGGGAAGGCAGATAATTTTCCCACTGCAGCTATACCCTGTTTTGCCCCAAACTGCATTTTTTAAGTATTGGCAGTGGGGCAGGGAACTCTGGATCTTCTGGCCCAGTTTTAACTTCCCCCAGCACTGATTCTTTGCTTTGGCTCGCCCGTCTTCAAATCCTGCATAGAAGTTTATGCTGGCACTTGTGTGTGTGCTTGTCCGGTTGATTGTCGCATGTGTACAAGATCATAGGCCAAAATGTGAATATGCAAATATGACACCCACAGTATCCAACTGTGCTTCAGCTCTTGTGCTAATGGCAATGATTGAGCTTTTTAGGCAATGAAACAGAGCGGTGATTCGCCTCTGTAATTCGATGTCCGCACCCAAATGTGATAATAGCAGATTTCACTTTCCACTTTGTCCTGGCAAGCAGTGCAAGTGCCAATTTTTGTTAGTGCTCCATCAGTGCTGGGAAATTGTTTATTTACCAATTGATTTTATTTACATCCTGACTTTCCACCAAGAAAATGGTGCTCAAGTTTACTAAACAAGAATAGGAACCCACATTTTAAAAGAAAAAATGGACCAAAGCAGTAGTAATCAAATAAATGAATGCCACAGCTAAAAATACAATAGATGAATAAAAACTGCACCGAACCCAATAGATCAGGTTATCAAAGGCCATTTTGATTAAAAATGTGT